TGCTTCGCATTCGGGAGCTTTCGGGTTTAAACCTCGGTTCAGAGACTGGATATTCCCTCAGTCTTTCCAGGTAAATGCTCGGATAGCACCGAAAATTAAGCCACGTCTGTTATTTTTCTGATTCATCATTCATGAATCATCCTATCATTCGACGCGATTTGTCTGCGCTACTGACAGCTTCGTTAAAGAAACCAGAAATAAATGTGGTTTTCTCCCACACGAACCATTCGCTGGAGTGTCTCGCGTTCAGGACACGATCTCATTCTAACTTTGCATTTTAAATTCAAGGTTTTCCTCGTGTTATGGCGTTCATTCTGTGCCAGAAATCATTTTTTTAATGATCCGTTGATTCTGTGACTTATGTCATTGTAAATATTAATTCAAATATGTATATCGAGGTACTGAATGAAAACTGTAAATTTTCTTTATAAAATTCAAATTTCACTGGTAATATTGTGAAGATTACTGTAATAAAACAGAACACGAAAAGGTATTATCAATGGTAAACTGAAACGACGCAAATATAAATAAGCTCTTAACTTAGTAACAGTGCGCATGCTCAAGAAATTGTTATTTATTGATGATTATGTAGTGAATGGACACTATGTTGTAGTGAGTGAAGGGTGATGAAGATACATTTATATTCCACACATGTATTTTGCATCCATATGATCTTTTGCATAAAAGCATCGCGAAAATCTCATATTCCGTCTAAATTTATTACTTTCCTTTGACTTTAGTTGTAGGCTACGAAATTAAGTGGTCAAAGTCAATTGTTATTGAGTTTCTCGTCTTTTTCAGTTATGGAGTTAAGAGTTGGGAAGTTTTGTTGCTTGTAAATAAATCAGTGTAAAAATACTCGTTACATTGGTACTCGGCGTAGTTGCTGGGACTTTGTCCCTCTCTTCAATATTTCTTTCATACCTTATTTCAGAAAATAGAAGTATAAAAATATTTTTATCATTTTTACAAATAACTAACGTGCAAAAGTTGGATTTCACATTGAAAAAAATGTAACTTAGATAACATACGACAATATGCGTCCATGTTTCCTGTGTTCTTTCGATATTTTATTGGTAAGAAAATAAATTAATAATTCGACTAGCATGTTTCATATCGTAGATACTACAAAAAGAGGCTCGTTTTGAACAACTTTGACCTTAATACATCAGCATCATTGACCCTTCCACTTCATTTTCGGCAATTGAAAATAACACTTCGAAGTCTTATTGACAAGCGTTGTGACGCCACTGGCGAAGGAGTTACAATTAATTGTTACTATTTACATTATGACCTATGATGAGCGTCTGTATGATGTTCCTGAGGGACTTTGTACTTGTCATTTAAATCTCTGAAGCATGAAGCTCACGTAAACTATATTTAAAAATTCAGTTCCTACACCGTAGAAAATGTAACGCGACTCTGTTACAATAATGAGTTGGTAAATGCTGCTTAAAGAAATAATCGCTTTCTTCTGAGAATCATACGAAATGCAGAATTATTTAATATTAAATCAGGTGGTATATATATTTACCACAGTGTTCTAAAGGGTTGATAATTCTAATATTAGTTTTCAGTCATTACTGAGCAAGGGTCTCTGAAACGTCGGTAAACTTCTACCAGACTACACGGCCCAACAACCCAGAAGACAGCCATCTTCGGACTCAACACCGTGAAAACATCGAATCCGGCCTTGCTGGATTTCAAGAAGTGAAAAATTTATTAATTTTTAGCACAAAACAAAACGTTTAGCAATGCACCTATTACTCCCCTAAGCGACGTTTTGTGATAAGTACGTTTATAACATTTCGACTCTTTAATAAGTTGTTTATTGACAGACAGAAAATCAAAGCAAGAAATGTAGAGTCGCAACGGAACACTTTCATAATTTCAGAAAGGCATGTTTACTCACGTATGTAAAAGAAAAAGAAGTCTTGCCAGCTCAGTATTGTAAAAACGTCCGACATCTTGAGGACCATAGCTATGTCATCACAAACTGATAACATTAATGAAACAAATTTGTCGATGGGATGAAATCTGTGAAGAATCACCCACCTCACAGTTAATCAAAATCAGTTATGATTAACTTGTATAAGGCAGTTCGTATTACTACTCGTCGCATCGGTCCTTAACCATGGTAAAATTTCCTAAACGTCTAATTTATATACCATGCTGATAAGGCTGAGTGCCTAGCAAATTTCTTTCTCAGAACTGAAATTCCGCGCGGTACGAATTTTCCACGTTACCAGTTCCTCCAGTTTAAGAACTTCGCTTATGTTCAGTAACGAAATGGAAGGGTTTGGATGCTGATGTCTCAGTACGCGACCTCCGCGCCCCACGGCCGATATGGTTTCATCTGAGAACTGCCACTGCTAGAGTTAAAGGCATTCTGG